CTCATTTTGCATGAAAAAAAAATTTAAAGCAAAATTAAAAGAAAAATTTTCTTTAAAATTTGCATCAAAAGAAAAAAAAGCTTAGCTATAAATAAATGATTTATATCTCATTTTTACAATCCAGTATCAGTGGCCGACTAACAGTGGTTATCAGCCAGTTGTGGTATTTTCATTTCCTTTCGACTCGAAGTAAAGCTAATTAAATTTATTGTTCAATAAGCAGCGTGCGCTCACCTATTTGCTAAAAACAAACAAAAAATAATCATTAAAACCAACACAATAAATATGACAAACTCTGCGCTTTTGTGTGTGCAAGCGCTGGCGCCTAATTAAATTTTCACAGCAAGGAAAGCAAAACATTTGTAAGAAATATACTACACCACAGGCACTCACATAAACGTAATACAAAATCACCGTGGCGAATTTCTGCAATCACCTGTTCGTTTTGTTTTTATCAAATTGGCTGCAACAATGAGTGTCAGCAGCGCGAATCAATTAAATAAGGCCAGCCATGTGTCACAAGTGATTTTATCGCCAGCGTCTGCGACGTCATCGGCGGTGGCGGTAGCGGCTCCCCGTAAACCAGCAGAGTGGGAGCAGAATTTCGAGGCGAAAATAAAAGATTTATCGCTCAGCGAACAGGAGGCCGTACGCCGATTCTGGAGGTATGAATTCACTGGTTTAGTGGGGGACAATAAAGGTCTAATTGGCTCAGACTGAGGTGTTTATTAAGAAAGTGAAAGGGTGCGTGCACGTGGAATTAAATTAACACAAATTGCGCGAGCGTACGAAAATTGTTATTGAAAAATATTTCGACAGTGATGAATGTCAAGCTACCGGGTTAATAGATTTAAGAGGATTTTCTTGTAAGCGGATTTAAGCCCTGGAGACAAATGAGCAATATGCACATATCTATAATCTTTTCTTCTTTTCTTGAAGGGGGCTTAACAGTTCATATTTCTTCATTGCTTTGCTCTTGTTTTTCAATATCTTAAGAGCTTTAGTAGCAATCTGCAGGTTTGTTTAATCCCCAAAACAGTTCTGCTGTCAAAACAATAAATAAATAACACTTTCAAGAAACCATAAATAATCATAATGGAATATCGAAATTAAAAGCATTGTTTACAGTTCAAAATAAGAAAAACAAGTCCAATGGTGTCAAATCGCAAAAACTCGGCGATGTTTTGACCTCGTTGTTCCGCTAGATAATGCGTCCTGGCAGCTTCGCTCGCAATAGGGCCAGCTATTGTATCATGCGCTGCGCGGCAAGTGGCACCGTTCTGTTGAAGCCACAAATCGTCCATGTCTATGTTATCTAATTCAGGCCATGTTGGTGATCATGTCACGATAACGTTCACCGTGCCATTGTTACCCTTATCATTTTCGAAAAAGTGCTGTCCGAGGAAACCGCCAGCCTAAAAACCACACCAAACAGTTACTCGTTGTGGCTGCAGACTTTTCTCTTGAATGACATGTGGATTTTCAGTACCCCCAACGAGGCAGTGTTGCATCAAATTATCTGCTCAGCAGAAAATGTGCCTCATCGCTTGTGATGATGAGCGCGAAATCCATTTCTTTTAGAACGACAATTTTCATAAAACGTTTGGATCACATTGACGCATTGTTCAACTGAGTATCGTTCCATGACTAAGTTTGCCAAAGCCTGTAGTACGAATTGTCTGAAATAAGAAAAGAAAGAAAATTGACATATCACAAATAATTTCTGTCAAAGATCTGTCCCACCCTTGATAACCCTATAATTGGTTCATATAGCAGCATTAACACTCTTGTGTATTGGACAGTGCACATTCACATTCGTCCGATCATATTCCACTTAACAGTTGATGCGTGCACCCTACAAATACCTCTTTACCGTTTTTGAATAGCTCTGTTGGCAGGTCGTCAGCCCCAGCAACTTTGTTGTTTTTCAATCGCGAAACTGCTATTCATACCATCTTATCTATTGACTTCAATGCCATTGAGCACAGTGTAGAAGCGATTTCTGCTTAAAGTAATTTATAATTCAATATATTCAGGATATCGGTTACTAGGCCGCGGTATTTTTTCTTATATGAATTTTCTCTGCCTCTGCAACCTTTTGTAAGTAACTTCTTTGCACTCACGCATTTCGGCATCTCTATTTTTATTATGAAAAATACTTCGCGCTTCTCTCTTTAGATCTCTATTTGGATCCACATACATCGCGTCGCTTCCGATCGCAGCTTCCTCTGTAGACGAAACCTTTTTCCTCTGCAGCGTTGTGACATTCACTCAAATCCAACAACTTCATGTGCTGCGGTGCGAAGGGCATGTGGTCAGACTGCTTGAAGATATCGCTTTTGCTGAAGAGTACTATTAGAGAGCTGTGTGTGTGAGCTCTCTTTAAACATATCTTTTGACCTTAACTCAACATTTTCTTCCATTGGGTCGTGTATTCAGATAAATAAGCGAAATGGTAAAGAACCTCGCTTTGATGCGCACTGTGGCGAGGCCTTAGCTAACCGGGGAACGACGAGCTGTCTCTCACACCATAAATCCAACACCGGCGACTCAGGGTTCCTCGTTATTTCTTTCTTGCCCCAGACATTGCAATTTTTGTCATCAAAAGAAAAGGATCTCACCCGAGGAATTTTGTTCTGTTTCATTGGAAATTTGTTTGACATAGCGGGTCCCAAACTTAGCGCACAGCCAGAACCTTCAGTGTATTTTATTGTTGTAAAATTAATAAAAGCTAACCTGATAAGAAAGAAAACGTCAGTTAGTGTGATCTGATACCCGGATTTCTCTCATCTGTCTCTTTTTTCTGTATATACATATGACTTTTCTCCTAAAAATTTCAAGCTGCATTATTTTATTATTTGAACGCTGATCTCTTGAAGTCATTTTAATTCTTTAAAAGAATTTTGGTTCTATGTGAAAATATTTTTAGAGGGTGTTCTGGTTTGTAACAAAAATATCTAAAAATTAAAAATTAATTACGGCGCGTTCACTTACTAACCACATATGTAAGTATCCACAACCCGTGCATGAAAAATGATTTCCAGACAATCAAAACTAATTATGCAACACTTCACGGGAAAACAAATAGCCGAGCACTTAAAAGGGCGGAAAGCGATTTTTCACTTTTACAGTGAAAAATGCGAGACGGTTGTTAAGAGCGTGATTTTTTTTGAATGTAAATAACTATGTACATATGTATGCGAATATAAACAAATAAAAACGAAGATAATAATAAACAGTAAAAGTAATATGACAAATTGAAAGGGTGCACCTCGACACATTTGAGACAAAAGCGAGTGAGGGAAACTTTACTTAGCTGACTCGTGATTGTTTTTGGTTGAAACATATTCTGCTATGTTAAATGTTAATTAAATCAAGTTTGCTTAACTGCGGTCGACCTCTTGAACCATAGCTGACATTTTTTTCTAGTGTCGGGTTCAACAATTAAGGTTAAATATTATATATGTAAAAATTTTGTCGAGTGTACTTTGTATGGAAGAAAATGCATGACACCGTTAACATATTTTTTTTTCAAAACACGCTTTTTATTGTACTAAAATTGCATGGGCTACAATACTGCATACCCGAAATTTTTCTAAAAATATTATTAACTCATGCACTGCAGGTCATTAGGATAGAACACCCCTTTGTTTATATATATTTTAAATTCGTTTACAATTTGCAAATCGGATTTACACGTAGAATATGCTATTATTAAACAAGCAAAAGGAAAACTGTACATACTGAGGATCAAACGCGTGTGTTATTCAAAAAGTGTATATTTTTAGCCGACTTCAAAAAAGGAGAAGATTATCAATTCATTGTTTTATTTTTCTTTATGTATGTATGTTACCGCATAACTTTGGACCACTTTAACCGATTTCTATAATTCATTCTCCGAAGGAAAGGCGGCACCTCCGAGGTGGTCCCATACTAATGTGGTTTTGATCCGATCATTCGATCATGAAGAAATTAACATTACTCTTAAATTTGTATATGAGAATTAAAGTCGGTATTGGTTTTTGCTTAAAAATGGCTTGTTTATTTTATTTTTAGAATTATGTGATTAAATGGCTTTTAAATCATATAAAATTATATTCAATAGCTTCACAACCTCCACTTGTTCTCATTTCTTTTGCAGTACTTTCCTCGAAACAAATTTATGCGCTCTTCTGAGGGAGCAACAAAGTATCTAGCCTGAGGCAGCATATAAATTTTTAATAAATAGGTATTTTTACTTTTCATGCCACCTTCGACAGTCATAAATCAGCACGTCTATAAATTATGTTATTTTCATAATATTTTCCGCGCCAAGTACATATGTATGTAGCTGCTTAAACCCAAAAGCAAAAATCCATAGAGCCACTGCGCCAACACAGAAAAAAAGCTGAGTGCAGCAGCCGTAACAGCGGTGCTGGGCGCCTGTTCTGCTTAATTTAATGACAGCAAACATTCAACAAAATATGTGGCGGTGCAGCTACTTTGTAAAATGCATACAAACTTACTTACATGCATATAAACACGCTTTCATGCGAGTGAATAAATAGAGTGCATGCTGAAGAAAGCCCTTTTCCATAGCTCCATTATAGTTCCATCTGCTGGTTCTTTTTTGCTCGCCACAATAATAAGTTGACATGTGCGTACATGTGCATGCGTATATGTTTGTTGTTATTTTTGTTTTCATTAGCCTGCCACATTTCTTTGCCACATCCAATGCAATTAATTATGAAAATCTGCTGCATCTGTTGATGATGCATGTTGCTGCCGTTGAATGATGCGTGAAATGTTGCGCGCCAATTCCAAACAGCAGTTTAGTCTAATTCTTCTGGATCCTGTATACATATGTAGATGTATGTGTGTATGTGCAGCTTTGCTCGTTATAAGCAAAAGTTAATTGTACTATCTACTTATTTTTGTTTTTATTTTTTAGTTTTTAATTTGTGCATTTTTTGACTACTGAAATATTAATTGGATCCATGTAAAATTTTCTTTCGTTGCAGGTCGGTGGTGATGCGTAATGCACCGCGTCTTTTCGGCGAAGAAAATGGTGAGTAAATTATTCAAATGGATACATATTATGTTGATGAGATGAGTCAATTTGGTTTGTCGAAGAAGATGTGCGAAGAAAATCGGCCTTATTTCGAATTCCTTGTGAACAAATATTCTCAAAAATTATAAAGCAAAAGAAAAACAATTTTTCCCAATTTGTTTCTTTTTTCTGTTCAATTATGGGATGATTTATTCACACGGGGTTCGCGATAAGGCTGAATATGGGCGAATAGTGTACTTATTTCAGTGAGAGCTTTTACTCTGTGCGTGTCCATATAAAATCTACACAGAGCTTTGAAGAGCATTCCTGACATATTTGAAGCTGAAGCTCAAAACTTAGGGAGTTTCTGCTGGGAGTTTCTATAGGTTTGTCGTGCAAATACGCCGTTTGCACGCGACAAAGCTCCACAAGCGGCTAAGCTCTACACTCGAAAGCTCGAAAAAAGAGGCAAACAAGGAGAGACCCAAGGTGTTTAAAACTTAAGCTCGAGAAAGCTGGACAGCTGAGTAAAACACAGATGTTGCAGTAAGAGCTCGAGGTGGTGTTAAGCCTTACCGTACGCACTCTGATCTGGAAATGCTAAGTCCAACTGCTACCAGTATTTGTTAAGTTCTAATAGCTCCGCAAATGACCGCCGTTTTACCCGAAGCCAGAATGTTTTAGTTGCCTTGCATTCCCAGGTTTTCGTCCAGCATTCACTCAGCTTAATAAAAGCCCACATGTTCGAAAGCAGACCACATGTAGCTAGCAGAGCCCTTTGCTCTCTTTGCTCGGCGGCAATTCTCAGCAGGACTTTTTTTGATAGCTGTTCAGCCATAACTGAAGTGATCTGATACGGTTAAAAAAGAATTCAGGCATTCCCCGACCGTTTTCGAACGTGATCCAATGACCCTGATTACAGCTTGGCTATCAGAATATATTTGTCGGCTGAGTGGAAGTTCGCCCTACCTCGGTTCAAAACTTCCCTATATCAGCAGAAGTTGAAGAACGCCCCATTTCAGAATTTAGTTGAAGAACGCCATATCTGAGAATTTGGTTCAAACACGCCCTATCGAAAATGCTCTATCTGAATATAAATTCAATATTTATAACAGCAGCTGAGATAGGGCGTTTTCTAACCATTTGCTGAGATAGCGCGTTTTGGAACCGGCAGCCGAGATAGAACGATCTTCCACTCAGCTGTCATTATGTTTACCTCCTTAAAGTGTTTTGTTTTTGCTGTTTCTTGTTTGAGGCTACCTCCTATTAAAAAAACACTACAGTGGTACGGTAGCCAGAATTTGCAATTTATGGAGACTTCCTCGCCGAAGTCACAGGACCCTGGATGAGATGTAGGTGGTGAAGGGATCACCCGGATCCAGAATTGATGTTCGGTGATGAGTTCGGACCAGAATGAGATTAAAATTTCTTGAAATTCTATTGTTGGCAAAGCGATGGGGGCTTCATCTAGTCCGCTTCACCAAACAAGGTCACACCGTCCGGTTTTATAGAGCCAGTAAACCGCACTCAACGAGATCCCGGCGCTTGCTCATGAAACCTCAGCAAGCGAAGCTTTATTTACGCTATCCTCGATTTTTGGTTTCCAGAAAAGCTTACTAACAAGAAATGACCCCAAATACTTCACCTCATAAGAGAACACTAGCGGAAAGCCTCCCATTAAGGGAGGCTGGCATTTGGGATTTTATATCTCTTTGTAAAGAAATATTTTTTTTGGTCTTTAAAGAGTAACTTACAAAATTACCAATGCTTTGCATCATATACCTGGATGCCAGACAAAGCCGAATGCTGATCTCACATCAATTTATTTCATAGAATATTTCTTCAAGATTTCTGTCAGCTTTGCATTTAGATCCACTCAGATCATAATTAATTGTACATTCATCATTTAGATTTTTATTATTTTCATGAAAGCGCATTCACTTGAAAGGAAAAAGTAAATGAAACATACTTTATAAATGAATCAATGACTGATCTTGAATTGATCTTGATTTCCAATGCGCTCACAAATTGCAAGTGAATAATTATTGACGTACCTTGTTTTGATGCTCTATCCATTATGAAACACTCTTGATGATCTAATGCTGATGTTTTGCAAAAAAAAAACAAAATATTTCAAGTATAACAAATATTATTTCAAAGCTTTGTAATAATTACAATTATTGTGCAAGCGTTGGATGAACGATTTACTTATTTACATAGCTTACCTTTAGTTTAAAGAAATTTATAAAAAAAGTTTAACATTCATTTGTTGACTATCTAAATTTATTTTGATTTAATTAATTAATAGGAATATTATTTGCTGATAGCCATTTCCATAGTTGCCCTTGATGAGCTTTCAAGTTATTGACACTTCGGCTTAAAAAGCTATCTTCAACACCCACATACAAGTTTTTATTTTGCATTGCATACTTATTTAGACAAATCGATGCTTAATCAGTCAAGGTCAAATGAAGCATGCTGAATTAAGTAGAAAAATGAACACAAGACAGTAAATAAATATTACGAATTTATATATACATACATATGTACTTATAAGTAATTATATGCACATACATAAATACATGCCTAAACAATGCATATTTACGTTCAAATTTGCATTAGGGTGCTCCAAAACATGCATGTGGGAAAAAATAAAATCGAAATTTTAATGCTCTCACTACCTAGGACTGTTCTAAATCGAAAAATATAACCCTGTTTTTTATTTAGAAATCGCTTTAAGCGACCTCTAAATATTTTTTGATTTAAAAAAAAAAAAAAATGGATATAATTTTTTCAGGTATAGAACAATCCTAGGGGCTGAAAGCACTAAAATTCTAACTTTACTTCTTTTGTACCACCTTAATGTACCTTGAAAAAATGTGAATGGGTGTATGCCGCCAATAAATGTAGCACCAAAAAAGTAGGAAAGAAAAAAATTAATTTTTCTTGCCGTTTTAGTAGCGATTTTTATGAATGAAAGCCCATAGAAACTACCGTAGTTCGAAAAAAAAATTAAATTGGCTTACTTTTAACCCCTCCGCATCAATGATTCAAGTGACGACGTTTGTATTTATTCAATTTCCGAAAAGTTTACTAAGGAACTGGTTTTATTTTGTTTATTCATAATTTTTAGTCTAAGACTTAATCACTGTTATTTGCTTAGCACACCTACCTAGCTAGTCATTATGGCAGCAGCTATTTTTGGCGGTGATTGCATATCCCACTCTGAGTATTTTTGGTTAATTTTTGGACAAGTGTAGGAGGACTTGCATTCAGTTGCATTATGTTTGTCATTAAGTTGGATTTAGTTGATTTAATTAAAATCTGGTTTCAATTGGCATAGCGTTTTTTCTTCTAGAATATGCGACTGGCGGTGTCGATAGCATAATTTTGAGTGCTGATCACTTTAATGTTGCCTAAGTTTTGATAATGTCAATGATCAACTCCTACAGAAAATTTTGTTACAAAAATGCCGGAGCTTATCGTAATTTACTTTACAGACTAAGACAAATTTATAGAATCAATGTATAATAGCCGGCTTGAATCGATCGTATGATCGGGGAAACCCTGCTATGTATCATGAACTGATCGCAGTTCCAAAGACCGAGTACTTTCGTGGATTTGTGTTGCTACAATAACTGCAATGACAACGCTACGGTTTATTTATAAGGACAAATGATGAAGGTTCTTTATGGCCAAAAATTAACCTGCATATCTAGGCATGCTTTGCGGGATGATTATGTAGGATTTGTTTTTTTTTTTCTGTCCTTCGATATGAACTTGATACCACCAGGATAACTGCTTTATCTGCAAACACACCACCGCGAATAGCTTTCGATGAGGTGGGAGGCATAAATTTGCACAACTAAGGGCGAGTTCTTTTAAGTATAGCGCCTTTTGTACCATTTTGTGCAAGGCTGTTTCAACCGTTGTATTGTGTTGTAAAGAGTAATCATATTTGGCATCGGAAGTAGGAACTTAAAATCAAAAGTCTCTTTAACAGCTTGTGGAGAAACGAAGAGTGACTGATGGGTCGAAAGTCGTATGTAGTGTTCGGCTTCCAGCTCTTACTTCCGTCCATGACTTTAGCTCTGTGAAATTTCGTTAGGCAGGATGATATTGTGGCTACTGGTTTTTAGACCCAGAGATTCCTAAGATGGGAAAAATCTGATCGCCAGAGTTACCTTGTGTTTTACATATGACGATTTAATCGATTTGTAAGCGATAAGGTTGCTGCCGCAAAGATGGCTATCTCTTCTATATTGACACATCCAGGGAAGTAGCTATACATTAGAGGGATTAATATTTCAAGACTGTTTTTAGTGTGGCCTGCACCTGGCCTTTCCAGGAAGCTGGGAGGAGTAGGACGATGCCTTCTTCTTCTTGTTGCATTGAAACTGTGACGATATGCCGCCCTGTCGCCTGCATTCTTTGTAATCTTCGCTCTATTAAAAGCGTTATTTGTTGTCCCGAGTAAGCTCCACTATCCACCAATACCATAATCTGGTGGATGTCTCATCTGATGTTTTTTTTTTTTTTAATAACAGATCTTGCCTTTTTTTGATCCTTATAAAAAAGAATTTACTTCTATCTATATGAGATGTAGCATTGTCGTATGGATATCTTGCAGCTCGCAATATTTCCATTTAATCTGACAGTAAAAACTTGTATTATTATTGTAGTTGTTGCTGTTGCTAAGTCAGTTAATTAAATAATGCTATTAACCGTTTTTGGTCATGTGGGCGCTAAAGTAATTACGAATTCAAAAATGATTTATTTATTGCTTGCCTAAAGTGCTCGCGCTGTAACTCATCATCAAATGCGATTTTCAAATCAAAAACAAAAAAATAGTAATAATAAAAAAAATCTTGCGAAACTCAAACAACTTTGTTGCTCTAGCTAGCGGCTATTAAACGTCTTAATTTACACATTTCATGCATATGCGCTCATAAAAGTTGGAAATGCGCGTGCGCGCCGATGTGTGCGAGATTATTTCCACTTGTTCGCTTGCCACCTCC